CAGCCTGCCCTGCCGCTCCCCCGCCCCCAGGCCAATGGAGACCAACGGGCTGGGGAGTCCATGAAGTCATTTGCTGATCAAAGCAGCTGACAGCTCCCTCCCCCTCTCTTCCCACCCCTTCTGCCAAGAACCCGCCCCTTCCTCATGAGGCTCCGCCTTTTCGTGGGGGCCCAGAGCTGGCCTGAGACCACTACCAAAATTTGTGAAGTGGCCCCCCTGCAAAAATGATTGCCCACCCTGGCCTACATGCTAGGCTGATGTGTGCTATGGAAATACAGCGATGGGTGCTCAGCTGACGGGCACTGTGAACCGTCCAGCTGCCCTCTTGGAGCATTGCATGCTGGGATTTGTAGTCTCTCCAGAGTCCCCCCCATGGATTTAAAAACCAAAGATGGTCACAATCTTCCTAGCTTTGTGCAGATGGGCTGGGAATTTCCTCTGGCCTGCCCAGCACTTGTTCTATATCCTCTGACTAAAATTTGGAGGACGGCTCAGCTGCTTGGGCAGCTCCCTGCACCCCCCGCCTCCTGCACCCCCGGAGTGGCACAGACAGACTCCGCCAGCCAGTAGAATAGAGGGAGTTGATTGCTTCTCCAGGATACAGCACAGCACAGATGTCATCTGGTTACAGGAACTGGGGCTAGGAGGCCTCAGTGCCCCCCCTTGAGATGGGGGGTGGCTGGGCCCTACAATCCCAGCCCCCGCCCTAGCTCCGCCCCTGCTTCCCAGACAGAAACTAAACCTCTTCCAGCCCTGCCCCCCAGCCAGGTGCTGGTCTCTGCCCTCCTCCCTGGGAGGCCACACAGACATCCCAGAAAGTCTGAAATCCAGGACCTCTGCGCCAAACCTGCGGCGCGATTGAACAGGCTCCCAGCCCTGGCCAGCCGCCCCTCCGTTGGGTCACTTGACGTAGCTGACCGGCCTCGGTGCCTGCTCGTTGCTGATGTCTAAGAACTCTCTCGACGGGGCGGCTGCTGCAGAACCGGCAGGGGGCTAGGGCATCTCGAGGTGTGTTTGTATAGGCCCTACCGAAAGGGAGAGGCAGGCAGTGACCCTGGAGGATGATGGGTTGTTTCCCACGCAGACCCTGACGCCTGTGGATGGGGGGGGGCCC